TTTATTCATGCTTTTAAATCCAGAGCAGCCCCTCCTCCTCTCTTTTGTGTATAGCAGCTACATGCAGGCAATCTCCCCTTAACGTGCAAATCCATTCCACAACCAGTCAATAAAATCAGTGCAAGCGACCCCAGTACTGCTTTCTTCTCTAGAGTTGGGGAACTTCATGTTTTGTGTGTTAGTTTAGTGCTGGATTGACAGTTCTTGCTAAGTGAAGTCCTTCAGTTATCCCCAGGACCAGTACTGTACATCCATATCAAGGTGCCTTAAACCTAATCTGGGCGGACCATCTTCTATGGGTGAGAGGGTTCCTAATTGTTGTGTTCATTCAGTTCTTGCCACTTTGCTGAGAGAGCCAACAAGGATGCCAGATTTGGTAGTGGTGTATGATGTTATGCATACACGTTCACTGGGAACAGGATTGAGACCAAAAGTCATTCATATAAGCCATCAAAAAGCTGTAAGATGGTAACAATTATTGTACAGCGCTCTTCAGACATAAATTTTATCTTGTTTTTTATGGGCTGGATTCAAGCTAATGACCTAGACCAGGGGTAGGCAACCTATGGCACGCGTTCCGAAGGCGACATGCAAGTTGATTTTCAGTGGCACTCACTGCCTGGGTCCTGGCCACCTGTCCGGGGGGCTCTGCATTTTAATTTATTTTTAAATGAAGCTTCTTAAACATTTAAAAAACCTTATTTACTTTACATACAACAGTAGTTATATATTATAGACTTATAGAAAGAGACCTTCTAAAAACTTTAAAATGTATTACTAGCATGCAAAACCTTAAATTAGAGTGAATAAATGAAGACTCGGCACACCACTTCTGAAAGGTTGCTGACCCCTGACGTAGACGTAACAGGCTTGATATCCAATTACCAATCCATGTACCATCCAGTCCATTAAACATCTTTCTTACTGCTCAACTGCCCAGTGTATGTATATACTTGCATATTAAGATTGCTATCCACTGATGACCATGGCTTATATCAGACCACCAAAATGTTTGTTCTTTAGTCATTGATCTTGGGTAGATTCCTCAACCTCATCATGCATCCATAACGCCCACTAGAAATCTGGGTGAAGAGTAGGACTTTGTGAAAATTGCCCCTGAACTAAGCTTTCTTAGGTAAATGTATATTTTGAACTACAGTTTCACAGGTTTTCCACCAGATGGCACCTAAACATAGTCAATCACAACAGCTGGGGTTGAAAGAAGTAACATTTTCAAAGAGACTATCTGTTTACTTCTGGAAATAAGATGAAAAAATTACTGCACGCAGTGATATAACCTATTTCACGTAATAATGCATCCTTCTATTTTGTTACTTTAACTCTTGAGCGGCACATCTCACTTGCGTCTGAAGTGGGCATTCACCCACGAAAGCTTATGCTCCAATACTTCTATTAGTCTTAAAGGTGCCACAGGACCCTCTGTTGCATCTCACCAGAAGCACTATTAAGTCTCTCCAACTCAAGAAGCTTGAAATCCCATTTTTTTTTTCAAAATATCAGAGCAAGCAATTACTGTTGGTTTATTTTTCTTCCATTGTGAAAAATGTTAGTACAGATGGGTCACTGACTTCATGGTGTTATGTTACCCCCTTTGCTCTTTCTACTCTTCCAGAAAAACAGTTGGCCACTGTTTGAAGACAGGATACTGGGCTAGATGGACCATTGGTCTGACCCAGTATGGCCATTCTTATGTTCAGTGCGTTGCTTTTTTGGGTCTCTCTTGTTTTGATGTAAAGTATGAATTTACATTATTTTGAATAATGTGGGGAGCTAGGGACTATTTAGTGAGCCTATTAAAGTCAAAACTGATTGCATAAAGACTTTTTTTCTTCCCATGCTCTCTATTATATTTATTTATCATTTGGGATTCTCTTTGTAGAGGTTTTGTTTGTATTTTGCAGTGACTTTTAAGGGTTTGTGGGGATTTAAGTATTTGTAAAACACGGCCACTGGTAGATTAAAAATCCTGCGTCAGATTTACTGCCTAAAATCTCATGTCTCTGCCCAGTGGAACAAAGACTGAGGCCTCCTGTTGGTGGAATTGTGGTTGTGCAACCACACTACTATGTCGGGGGACTTCTGAGCCAATTAGGGTGGATTATAAAGTTGGGCACTTTGGTGTGGGGCATTCAGCAGATGTGCAGAGTTAGTACATAGCCTGGGACAACTCCACTTGTGAAGTGTTCTATGCTATGGAGCCTTGACCCAGGGTGGTATTTTGGCTTTTTGTGAAAGGCAAGCCTGTTACTCCTCCCTTCTAACAGGAACAACCTCTGGGACAGGGTCCCCCATGCTAATTGTGAGTCCCTCACAGTGAACCCGAGGATGTTTAGGTACATTCTGTGCCCAGTTGCAACCAGTTGAGGCAGTGGGAGAAACTTTCCATGAGAGATGCTAATATCATGTCCAACCCCTACTGCTCTGGGGAGTAAAGGATTGACTGACTCTTTAATTTTGATGTCCTAAATGCTAGTGTGTGCTAGTGTTAAACCTTTTGGCTGGCTGTGGACAACTTACTGACTTCAGATTTGTTCTTTTCACAGAAGTCAGACATAGTTTTTGACCTGGTCTATTTCCTTTATAAAGAAAAGTATTTAAATGTTGTAGCTGTTATAAACGTGAATTATGAGGGTTGGGTTGACCAAATAATACACTAGTGGTTAGACTGTCTAGTCCTAAATTGACAAGCTGGAATGTTGCATACTGTTGGATGAGTCAAAATGTTTCTTTTGTTTTAGAGATTTGTGGCGTTTTTTGTGTTGTGGTGAGAAAAAAACCCTGCAATAAACCAATAAATTAAAAAATTGTCGTCTTCTCCCCTGGAAAAAACAAAATCACGAAGGGCTTTGGATTAAAGGAGCAAACCTCTCCTGGAATTTCGATTTGCTGTCTGAGCATAGTTTGAGTGAAACTGCAAGTCAGCTCCAGTCCTCCTGGCTAGTGTTACAGTGAAACATGCAAAAATTAATCAGTGGGAATTAGTGCAGTTTCTCAAAGTTTGAAGCGAAGATCACTCTTTATAATTAAAACATACTCAGTAGGTCAGATTCATCCTCGGTAACTGCATAGAATTTGGTGGGTTTACCCCCAAAATGATGAAAATGGTTCATTGTATTTACTGAATATCTTAGTTTAGCTTAAATTTCTTGGTGTTGACTGTATGTAGATATCTGAAGTTGTAAAGGGTTGGGCCAAATCTACTCTCCGTAATAAAATAGTAGATTCTTTGAATATTAACCTGATCCTGAATATATAATAAGTAATGTATGATGTAGTATATCAATGTTTTATTGTAACTTTGCCTGAATAAAAAGTTAAACAAAAACTCCCACATTTTTTCTTATTGGTGAGAGCCAAATAGTGACTATTTTTTCTCCTCTGTTCAGAAGAACTCTCACCTCCCACACATTTTTATTTTCAAACCACCAGTTTTATTTTAATATAGCCTCCATCTGAAGTTGCAGATAAATGTAATTTCATTGTACTTGTCAAGCCATGAGGTTGCAGTTTGGTGTTCCATCCTGCACATATAGTGCCTCAGCATGTGAATGTGGCTGAAATTCATTTTGAGACCACTTGGGATTGGTCCCCTCCAGACATGGATCATTGGGGATTGTACTACTCAGCCAGTGGACCATTCTGTTGGTGACCTGGTGGGGATGATAGGATTTGTCTATGGTTATTAACAAAATACCTCCTAAATGCTGTTTGTGTACCAATGGGAGCTTTCAGGAAGACAGACAACCTATTGCAAATAAAATACATGGCATGGAGATGGCAGAGAGACTGTTTAAATTCCTGTGCTCTGGTTGTGGAGACAAATGAGGTTTTTCGTTTAGCTTCTGCAGAGTGGAAATATTGCAGGTGGAAGTACTTGGTAGATTTGGGCTACCATACTGTCATCCATCTGAGGCAAAATAGAGTATTGTTCTCTTAAGGCTTTTCTAACTTTAAAAGGAAGGGTGGACTGGATTGAGGCTCTGATGGTACAGATCCATGTCTGGAGGGGACCAATGCCAAACTGTCTAAAATCGAATTTTAGTCCTATTTACTTGCTGAGGCACTACATGCAGTTTGGTGTTCCATCCAGCACAACTGCATAGCTTGCGTGTGTGCGTCTGTGTGTCCCCCTTTTTTTTTTTAAAAAGCAAGGAGCAATGGTATTGAAGATTTACACTTCCTAGGGGATGGCAAAATACCATTTTACCTCAAAAATGTTCATTTGGACTTTGCTTACTATATCATCACTTGAGGCTGATCTTTTTATCCCTCTCCCTGCCAAACCTACCTTGTTTGGGTACAGTTGTTGAGAAGGTGGCAGCACAATTCAAAATTTCTGGAGTCCTCTGATTTTTATCATCTGTCAGTTAGGTGTCTGATGTAGTAGCTGTCTAATTGCCTGAGGGTTATGGGCAATTTGTATGGGCAAGGATAGAAGTTGGATGTCTTTCTTCTTTTAAAAAAAATAATCAGTCAATCTTAGTTATTAACCATTAAGATATTGCCTGACATTAGCAGGGGCCAGTGGGATTGGTGTTGTGTGGCATGATTCTTTGCTATCTAATAGATATGTTGCTGATTTGACTGATTATAGAGGAGTTAGGTCACGGATTGATGTCCTCATCTTTCTGGTTTTTGTGTGTGTGTGTGTGTGTGTGTGTGTGTGTTCTAACTTGCTCGAAGCTCACTAACATAAGTCTGGTCATTTTTCCCTCCTAAGAAATTAATACACTAACGTCTAAGAAATGGTCAACATGAATCTTTTATACAAATATTCCCTCAGCTTATTTAAACTAGAAAAGCTAACTTTGAGGGCAAAGCTCTCTATTTAGTTTTCAAATATATTTAATTCACTTTGAAATATTCTGAAACAATTTAGTTCATGGAAATAGACTGCTGTACTGTACTTTGTCGGATTCTTTCAGGAACATAACAAATAATCACAATATTTTAACAGAGAATGTCTATCATTTATTTAGGAAAGACTCTGCTTGTTAACTTTGCCTTTAAACCCAACCCCTTTGACGTGATTTGAAGTAGTGCCGAGTACTTACATGGTTCCTTGTGACTTCAATTGAAGTGGTGAGTGCTCAGCACTTCTGAAAGATAGCCCCCGATCTATTTTGCTTTATTTTGAGTGTTCCTTAAGTATTGTGAACACCCAGGGAAAGACATGACCCCATAGACATTTGTACCATGTTTCATGAACAAAATGTATATTGGCACAGCGATAACAAGGCAATTCACAGCAGTATAGCATGAGTTCTGTTATTTGGATAGTCTCCCACTTCCAATATTTGGAACAGACTGAACAATACAGCTGTTTCTGTTTTGTACCCAGGGCTCTCACTTGTATAATGGCTTTGGAAAGCAGGTTGTCTTGAGAGTGCAAAGTTCCTTCTATGTAGTAACATTTACTAAAATCAATATTTTTGTTAAGGAGGAGCTGAGAGAACTCCGGGAACAACCAACCGATCCTCAAGCCCAGCAAGAAATAATTAACAGCATTGAAGAAGTGTATTTTTCCAATGATTCCTTTGATATTGTGAAGTATGAGTTGGAGGTAAGAAGTCTTCCTCCTCCCCCTCCCCCCAAAAAGTCAGTATTCTAAAAGACATTAATCAATGACATTTATTTTTAGTCAATGTTCACCCTTTCATCTTGACTTCAATATTTGTGTGACTTTTCTCTTTTGCCTTAACCTAGAATTAAGATTTTTCTGTGACTGTATAGGGACTGATCCAAAGCCCATTGATATCAATGGGAATCTTCCCATTGGATTCAGTGGTTTTAGGATCAGGCCCATTGTGCTTCCAAACAGTTCAGAGATCAAATTTGCTTATGAAATGGCCAGAATAATCAAAACTGGGAAATTGATTAGATTTGGCAGAAAAACTGTATTTTTGGCTTTATTTTGTTAGTAACCAAAATTACAATATGTTATGTGTTGATTCTGCGGTTGGGGTGTATGTGCACATAATCTGCTGAATGCAAGAAAAAGCTCTCTGAGATTTTGATTATCCATTACTGGATACTCACCATAATGTAACTCTGACTTTTCATTGTTTATCGTTATCTTACTTTAAATGCAGATTAGATTGTGACAGCATAACATTGTTTCCTAAATGCATTTAATTATTATATGTACACTTCATCTACATTCATTTTTCATTGGTTTTAATTTTGTCTTCTACATACAGAAACTTCCTCCAGTTCTTAGTCTTCAAGAAATGGAAGAATACAGAGACAAATTAAAGCAACAACAAGCTGCTGTAAGTAAAACTCTTTTCTCCTGTGTTGAGTGTGTAGAACTTGATGCCACTGATGTGTTGTGAGTTCCAGTAGTTCTTACTATATTTATTAAGACTATTGTGATATGGGGCTGAAAATAATCTTGGATCCCTAAAGGTATTAACCCGGTTAAGTTAGCACATTAAGAACCTCTTCATCTCCATTTCTCCTCAGCCAACAAGATGGATGAGCTAGTTGACTGCTTCAGCCAGATTCTCCTCTGATTCCCATCTTTGGGAGGGTTAGAGAGAAGTGCTTAAGAAGAACATATATCATTCTCTCACTTCAAGTGCTGAGCCCTTGTCTCCTTAAACATCCCTAACCCTTGCTGGAAGAAAACTGTTTTGAACATGATTTTCTATATAAATTACTGATGGTTTATTTGGTATTTTTTCCTTGTTCAACCTTTCTTATGTGTATGTATGCTGGAAAGATGCTTATTTTTTAAATTTAATATAGGGTGTAATTCTCAGAATAGAATAGACCTTCGTTTATGATTTAATTCAGAGCAGTGCAAAACATAATTTTAAAATGCTTATGTCTTGCACGCCAAAGGAAAACTTAAGTTGATTTTGCCATGCACAGGATGATTATAAACTAGCATAAATTATATATAATATGGTATTTGTATGAAAGGAAAGTTTCCTTTGTAGTTTGTTTAATCTCCAGTGTAGGTGGTTAATTTGTAATTGCACACTAATAACATGGAAAACAGAATATATCAGGCTCCAGTGCTCCATGTCTTTTCTATTTTTACTCAAGTGTGCTCTTTAGCTGGTAAAGGGCTAAAAGGTTAATTTGAAAACATCTACTAATTCCCAAATGGAGCTGTAAACATACATCTGTTTTTATTTGCAGGAGAAGTGTGGTCATTATCTTAGAATGTTTACTTCTTTCTTGGCATATGTATTAATCAATGTATGATTAAGAATGTTAAGAATTACAGGAAATCTTCAGAGTTCTTAATGCAGATCTTTCAGCATAGAGAATGGATACTTTCCAGATACCTCACATATAATATTTTCCCCTTCAAGGTATCTAAAAAGGTTGCAGACTTGATTCTTGAAAAGCAGCCTGCATATGTTAAGGTAAGATAATGAACTGATGTATTATATTGTAAATGCCTTCTGTGAATTATTAAATCACACCAGCTAATGTTACTGTAATTCAACTTGATCTGTTTTTCAGACACAATTGTGGATCCATTCATGTAATCAATGGGAGAGTGTAGTCTCTTAAATTCTTATATCCTGTGGCTATTTTACTTAAGTCATGTTGATACCCACCATCAGTGCACCTAGATGCTTAAATCAATATAGTAATCAATTGCAAATCAACCCTATTTTTTAAAAAAAATGGCAAAATCAGTTAAAAGCCCTGTCAAAGAATACTGCTACTACTAATTACCTGAGGAATGAATGAACGTAATGAAAGGGCATTCCATTAGCTCAAACAAGCCTCTGAAGATGAGGCAAACTACTTGGTCAGTGGTTTTAAAAGCTTTCTATTCATCCAACAAATCTGGCATTGACTCTCCAGCTGACAATCCAAAAGTAGTTGTGTGGTGTTTCCATTGCCAGTAGGAACTAAATTCTTACACTAAACTCATGTCTAAAACCAGACTGATAAGAATCGAGAACACGAGATTGAGATCATGGGAGCTGTTCTAACATCATCCTAAGATGTTCCAGAAATGGGAGGCTATAGATGAAGTAGCAGACGGAGGGGGCTTGAGCAGGAGCCTCACTGCTGTTTATGTTGAAGGATGGCTTGCACCTTGCTTCCATGAAGAAGGCATTAACAATCTTCATCAGTAACAAATTCCAAACTTCCCACTGGTCCCTACCAAGTCATGAGAAGTGTGTCCAATAGACAAGTAAGTTGGACATGGCACTTCCAAGAGACTTCAATGATAGCTTTAATACCCTCTTATTCTGATAGTGCTCTCATGAGATTGGTCCGGTCAGCCAGGATCTGGTTCATCTTTTCCGCAAATCAAAGTGAGGATTCCTCAAAGAAACAAATTAGACCATTAGAATCAAGGAAACTTGGATTCATCATTTTGCCAATTGAATGTAGATTCTAATGAGGCCCCCATCACAGTAGTATGAAATGTCCACAGTTCTGAAGAGTTGCACTGGATGAGGTTTTGCTGAAGCTGAGGGAGAGGACAACCAACCTTTTGTTTCCCCAGTGTAAGAATAACCCAGTGTCTGTGGCAGCAGTCTTTGAGTTAGTGTATTGCCTTTGCCACTGACACTTCAGCTTTCTTCCATGTTGCTTCATCATTTGCAAAGCATCTGTAAACTGTGGCGATTCATTGGTAAGGCATAAAGTGAGTGGGTGTCGAGATTCTAGCCTGTCAATATTTCTTGATAATACATTGTCATAGTATTCCACTGAAGCATTGGTAGAATGTTCAAAGGCTGAGAGCCATAGTCTGTTGGAAGTGTCAGATGAGGTAGGTCCATCAGTATCCTAGAGTGAAACATTAAAACAGTTTCTCCATCCCCACAGGAGTGTGTTCCTAGCCTGACTTTTCTCTGGAGGAGGAGGAGATCTGACAGTGACAAGTATTGTCTTTTCATCCCAAAGTTAAAATCCAGAGATTGAAACTATAATTACACCTATGAAGGAAAACAACTACTATTAATTTATCCCCATCTGACATCTTATAGGAATCAGAAGCATTTTCATTTAATAAAAAAATGATTTTTTTTAAAGAGGCTGTTTATGGACAATTGAGGCAGACTCTGACAAAGAGTTTCTGTTTTGGATCTTGTTTTTTATTGTATACAACAGCTTCACTATTACAAACCCTTCCCCACTCATAATTCCATAATGTTCTTCCGATATCTTACTTCTTAATATTAAGATGCCTGCATTGCCAAATGGGCTATTGTGTGCACACACAGATCATTACAAGTAGGGATTAATTTCATAGTACAGAGCCTTTTAGTGCGGCTTGAAACAGGACTATGTATGGATTTTTACGAGAGCGCACAATGCTTCAGTGGTTCCAAAGGGATGGTTAAAAATCTATCAGGCCAATAAGAGGCACTTTAAAAGCCCCTTAGTTGTGTGTTTGAGTCAATAATCCTGTTTAAAAAGTCTGAGCATGTTAACTGCATAGCTAGGGCTCCTCAGGAGCTATTTGTGTCTCTGGATTCAATATCATGACTTTTCAAACTTTAAAATAGGGTGTCTAAGAGAATCCTATCTGAGGGGCTGAGTGCTTGCGTTCCGACTGACTCACTGGGATGTATTTAATAACTGTGTTCCATACTTCATGATGATAGCTCATATTTAGCAGCAAATCCTATCCTTGCTTCCTCACCCTGCACAGGATCCCCTGGAAGAGAGTGCATTTCCACTGCATGTTTGGAAGGAGGTCACAGAGGTGATATGCATCCCCTGTATAAAGTAGGGTCCTCTTCTGTAAGGACTTCCTGTGGGGCCTAATGGGGAATAGACAGGGCAAGTGGATTTTCCATTCTGCAGATTCTCTGGTATCTTCTTCCCTGGAAGAGGAGCACTTTTTTTTTTTTTTTTTTAAAAGGACTGTTGCAGCTGCTGGGTTGATGTGGCACTGCAGAGCCACTCTGTATCTGGCTGAGGGAAGGGAGTACATCTGCCCAGCTTGAGTCTGGGTATTGGACTGAGGGTTTTGTCCCTAGGAACCTAATAGCTGCACTCCATCCCAGTCCCTAATCTATGCAATCTGAGTGTGTCCAAAGGACAAGTTTTACTGCATTCATACAGGCAGAAATATTTCAATTGAATGCCATCTATTAGATTAGATTTATTATTAAATGCACTTTTCATGAAAAAGGAAGTCATGACCCTCTGCAAAAGCCTTTGCTATTCAAAGCTTTTTTAAAGGGGAGATTGCTTCATACTGTACCTAACAATCTTTGAATAGAATTTAAGCCATTGCTCAAACCAGGATCTAGTTTCTGACTTTTCTAAACCAAGGATATCTTACTTCCATAGTATATCTTTGATTATTTTGAACAGAAGATGGTGTTAGAATGACTTAGGATTTAATGACCTAGTTAGTTCAGGTCAGATTTTTAAATTTGAATCAGATTTTGTATTGTAGAAGTTTAAAGTAGAGACCACACCCTTCTCTGTATTTGGAAAGCACCTGTCACATTTTGAAATACAGTGCTGTCATGGTGTGAGCACACCCTGTCTCCCTTTGGGGTAAATCATGGGTGTGGTGTCACTGTGGTTAGTCTACCAGACTGTCCTTGGATTTAAGACTGTGTGGCTCAATGGCTGCAGTCAGTATGGCTGCCCTAGGGTTCAGGGCTCTGCAGCCTAATGGCCAGAGTCAATGTGGCTGCACTTGGGTTCAGGGATCCGCGGCCTAATCGCCAGAGTCAGGGGCTGCCACCTGGGATGGGGCGGGGGATGATGGCTGAGGTAGGGGGACCTGGGCCCTCCCTGCTCCACTGCATCAGGGTTTTCAATCCGGCCCGTGGGATTGCCAGCCCTGTGGCGTGGTGGGGCTAAGGCAGGCTCCCTGCCTGCCCTGACCCCGTACCGCTCCCAGAAGCGGCTAGCACCATGTCCTTGCAGCCCCTTGGGGAGGAGGGGTAGAGGGCTCCGTGAGCTGCCCTCGCCTGCAGGCACTGCCCCCCATAGCTCCTATTGGCTGGGAATGGGAGCTTCGGGGGTGGTACCCGCAGGCGAGGGCAGCATGTGGTGGAGCCACTGCTGGAGATGCTGGCCACTTCCGGGAGCGGCGCAGGGCCAGGGCAGGAAGGGAGCCTGCCTTAGCTCTGCTGCGTGCTGCTGCCACCCTGGAGCCATTTGAGGTAAATGGTGCTGGGCCAGAGCCCATACCCCAAACCCCTCCAGCACTCCGCACGCCAACCCCCTGCCCCGAGTCCCCTAACCCGCTACCTTGAGCCCCCTGCTGCACCCAACCCCCTGCCCTGAGTCCCCTCCTGAACACCACACCCCCACCCACACCACAACCCCCTGCCCCAGCCCTACATTCATGGCCCTGCGTACAATTTCCCCACCCAGATGTGGCCCTCGGGCCAAAAAGATGGCCCACCCCTGGCCTAGACTGAGCTAGTCTGCTCCCTTTTATACTGGAAAAGCAGTTGGAGCATGCCCAGCATGGTCTGATGGGGGTGGGACTTCCTCTGCCCATAATGTGGAGTTAATCCTTTCTTGTCTAGTGAAGGGTATGCACACCCTGTCACAAGTGCAATAGACATTTTTTTTAAATGTTCAGGTTTTTTTTACATAGGGGGTGTGCAAACCTTTCTACGATGTATTGCCAAATAAAGATAAAGTAATAGCTGTTTAAAATCCCTGGTGATTATTTTTAAGAGCCCCAAAATATAGTAGGAATTTCACAAAAAAACTTAAAGCTGCGTTCCTTGCCCTGAAGTGGTCACAGCCTAAATTCAGTGCGTCACAGTTAAGGGTCATTGCAAAGTGATATGTACTGAATTGCTAGTGAATACCTAAATATTGTGAAACAAAATATTGTGTATAGCATATTTGCCTGCTTTGCCAATATCTGGTTTATTAATGCAAATTAAACTTTGTGTGTGTGCCTGAAGCTTTGATCATTCCATTAGGCTGAACTTCATTAATGGCAATAATATTATTCTTGTGAAAATGTTGCAATATATAAATATAGCAAAACTATTTTATGTTGAGTTTTCAACTTCAGTAAAAATGGATTCCAAATAATTCTCTTTTGAAGATACTTGCTTTTTTTTTTTTTTTTTTTGTTGTGGGTGACTGTAAGTGTTTCTGCAGAACCTCTAAATTGTCTTATTTCCCTTTATGGAAACTCTAACATCACATTATGCCATCAGTGCTTTGGCCTTTACTGATTAGGCGATTGAAATATATTGTAGCTTGAGAAATGAGGGACTAGATTATAGGTTTATGTAAATTACTTTGAGATTGGTGAGAGCATCTGACTTGTTTTACACAACAATGTATAATTCTTGGAAGAGTAAATTGAAATATTGCTTCTCTGTAGGAACTTGAACGAGTTACATCTTTACAAACTGGTCTTCAGTTAGCTGCAGTCATTTGCACAAATGGAAGAAGGTATGGTACATACTTAGTGACACACTTGTCCGCTGTTCAGAGATTGAAAGGGAATAAAATGGTTTAAAAACACAATTACTCTCCCTCCCCCCTCCCAAAAAGAAACCCCTTCATTTACTTTAATATGAACTAATGATTACTTTTATTAAGAACTATTTCCTATTTTTGATGTCAGTACTAACACAAAATTACTAGTAAATTCCTGTACTTAAGTCCAAAGTGTGAACTGAAAGTTCTGCCTCCTATTGGAATGGACCATTGACCTAAAAACAAACTCCAGATAAAGGATAAATGCACCTTTCTAATTTCCCTCTAGTGTCACTGTAATTGCTGAATTTCACTAGTAGTGCTGGTCATTCAGAGTTTCTAATGTGCATTGAGACCTACCTGTTAGACTATTTGATAGCTAATATGCAAAATAAATAATTTTATAAGACTATTCTGTGTATTGTTAACTTCTGCAGACACCTGAATATTGCAAAGGAAGGCTTTACTCAAGCCAGTTTGGGACTTCTTGCAAATCAAAGAAAACGACAGTTGCTGATTGGACTGCTAAAGTCTCTGAGAACAATAAAAACACTGGTATGTGCAGATTTTTTTTAATAGTAAAAATATTTTTCTTAATTATGTAGTTTTCTTATGGCTTTTTTTTTTCCTGTCGATTTTTAGCAAAGAACTGATGTACGTTTAAGTGAAATGTTGGAGGTAAGTACTTACAACTATTTTATAGTTATTGTAGATGGGTATACATTTGTTTCCATCCTTTTTATTTCTTTCACTCTTATTTCCTAACACAGAGGACACTTTTAAAAAAAGAAAATAAAATGATTTACCAGAAGTTTTGCTTTTTCATGTCAGAAATACTGTGTGTATGGCACAAACTGCTAATCTACTGGAAGATGCCTGCGATTCTGTTCAAGGCTCCAATTCTGCCACTGGATGTGCATGAGCAGAGCCTTGTAGACATGTGGGTCTGAGGGTTGAGGCTCTAACTAGTACAATAAGGGTTCTGTTAGGTCTTTCTTATTTATGTGTGTCTGTCCTTTCTGATGCCAGTGTTTTAAAGCAGGATGTGCTTTTACTGGGAGGACAAAAAGAGGGTGAGGTTTATCTGGTTGCATGTTGGCAGATATGTTTAGTACAGGCGAAGGAAAATACTCACATCAGCATGTAACTGCCCAAGATTATGTACTGTACAGGTTCTGCTACAGATGGGAATAGATTGATTATGTGACATTCAGCTGTGTTTTTTACTCTCTTTCTCCTCCCCCCCCCCCCACCCGTCGGGTCGGGGGCGGGCCGACGCGAGA